GGGGGGATCAGAATTCTACTGTTGATATTTGTCTCTAATTTCTACCTACTGCAGTTGTAGGGTTTCATTGAATGATGCTGAGGAGCGGACTTATTTGTTTTTAAGCATTTTTTACCATTTAGACAGAAAAACATCACATCCTGAAGGCTTGCTAGAATTTAATTTATTAAATGCACTTTTCATTTGCATTCTGCTTTTCCGCCTGCAGGTTTTTTTTTTTCTATTAGAAAATTAAATCTTTTGGGTTTTGAACTGCTGATTGAACAAGCAATTTGAAGATGTCACCATGGGCTCTGAGAAAATGTGATGGTTAATTTTTACTAGTTTCAGACGCTTTATAGAACAAAGGACTAACCTGATAACTGAGAAAATAATGGGAGGAAAAATGATAATAAATGTAAAGTCTTTGTTGCAGCTCTTTCTACACCTTGTTTGCACCAAGAGCCAGCTAACATCTGTTTACATTGTGATTTGCTGTTTTACTTCTGCAGTACTTTCCAGGTCGTCCCATAGTGATGAATCTGTTGAAGTCTGCAAACTCTTGGGTACAAAACCAAACTGGAGATGAGATTTCCTATGAAGCGTTTAAAGAGATACTGGATAACTCGGCACAGGTGAGTTAAGACGGAACCATACAAACAGGTTTTCACCTTATGTATCAATGCAGTTAAACGTAAGGTGGGTCCTGTTAATGTCGATCAAACCAACAACGTAGTAGTAAATCTGTTGCCATCATTGGTTTTCATGTGATTCAGAAATGCTCTGTCCAGTAGGTACTGCATTGAGCACATTACTGAATACAAATTTAGAAAAAGAAGACACATTTGTGAGACGAAAGCAGATGAGAGCAGCACAAGCAGCTGCAGAGAAAACAGAGGGCAGGTCATCACAAACTGCACTCAGACTGTCAGCTGTCTGGGAGAATCCCTGTTATTCCACTGAACTACAAGGTCATTTGTCAGTCTACCCACTTTGTCATTTCAGAACCAGCTCAGAGACACCACAGTGGTGCCTGTTCTGTCAAAGAATTGTCAAAATGGGATCTTGTAAATACAGGACGAGTGAGTGAAAAACATAAATATCAGATATTTCAATATGTACTTTGTCCTTGTCTTTGTGCCAGAGCATATAGTTGAAAATCTATGTGCTGTTGTTTTTGGAATGAAGCCTGCGTGCCTCTGGTGTACAGCCCCTAGGAAATTGAAAGAGTCACTTACTTACATCATTAGCTTTTAGCAGGCAAATCAATGGATCAATGAATCAATGAGAAGGTATGAGACATGTGAGTAACTGTGTCAGTCACACAGTGTGGTGAGAAAAACGACTTTATGTCAGAGACAATAGGTTGGTGGATTCAACTGAGGCTTGTGGTTCAAGATCTGGAGAGCTTCTGTTCATTAGTGGAGGGCTAAGCCATTAACCTGAGATTGACTTCTCATTGATCAAGAAAACTACGTGAAACTTCTTTCATTAAGTTAAACATGTTGCGAGACAATGAGGAGGATTTTACAGTAAAACCGTGGATGTACCTATGAGAACTGGGTACCAGGCCGCCACTCAGCTGTTCAGCCAATTTTTCCCAGTAACCAGTTGTGGTACAGCAACAGAAAAACCCCCATAGGCCCAAAAAGCATTTTCTCTATAGACCACAATGATGCAAGACTCATCTTTAAGTGGTTTTAACAGGACACCTCAAACTGTAGATCAGGTCAGTTATCACTCATTGTTTTGTATATTTCTGATCCACGAGAGGTTTTTTTATTTGTAAAATTTGCCAGGCTAAGAGTTTAATTTACGTGATATCATCCCAATGTAAAGTATATGGGCAGCGGGGGAAAAAACAAATGTGCATGTGCAAGTGGGCCACACAACGTGGAAGTAAAGATTGAAGTTTTTTTTTTTTTTGGTGTATGCGCCAGGTGAGCAGCTTTCAGTGGGAAGAATGGTCGTCATCTTGTAATCCAGTTCTCCTTAATACATCCATGGTTAAAACCCTATAGTTGTTTGGAGCCTTTGGGGCAACATTTGTAACAAATATTGAGGTATTTGCGATTAAGAAATGTCACCCAGTGCAACAGTGTGTTTTACCGATCTGTTTTTAACAATTTTTGAACAGCACTTCAGGTCTATGGCTCAGATGAATAAGGTAATCCGCAAGGGAGACTGACATTAACCAGTTCATTGTTGGTTTGTCTCTATATGGATTGTTGAAAATACTAATAACATAGAAATGACCATTCTCATCCTCTAAACAGGTTTCTTTACTCCTTTCTTCTCATTCAACTCTAACTTATGCTTGTCTCTTTGTTTCTCTTCCTGTCTCTCAGTCTCCAGACGCTGCTTTGCCTGTAGGGGTGAGGTGGGTGGGCTGTCAGGGTTCACAACCTCATCTCAGACGTTATCCTTGTGGGGTGTGGACTCTCTTCCATGTTCTCACTGTCCAGGCCAACAACATTAAAGGTGCAGAGTTTATATTGCTGTGAATGAATAGGCCACTGAGAATTCAAGAAGACAGGAGTGAACTGAGGATGAGCACTTTGTAAACAGATTAGCCCAGGAATGTTTGGCGAGCTACTTTTTTCACTTTGACCTGATTTAACAGGACACAAACAATTTTACACATGCACACAGAAACAAAAACATTTGTCACAATCAAGTTTTAACCAGAATTCTTCCTTTCCTTCAGTAATTTTGTCACAGCTAAAATTGAGCCTAATTGTGACTGTATGAAAAGGGATTATGTAGATTAGTGGAATGTGAGTGGTTAATAAAACAGGCAGATGACTAGAGGATCTGGTCGTGGCAGGGACGTTAATCTCCCCTCCACACACACACACACACACACACACACACACAGAGGTTAATCCTGAGGTTTACGGACCATCATGTGACCTGCAGATGGCCTGACCAAAAGGGGTGTCCATCTGGGACCCCCCCCCACCACCACCAGCTTAATGATGCATGCATACACTACAGTGTTGACCATAACATGAAATTCCTATCATTCGTATACAAACTCATATATTATTAAAAGTTTGAATACAAGCCCAACAGTTTTTTTTTTTATAAGGAAAACTCCCACTGTCAGTGCAGTTCTCCTAAGGGTCCTGCTAAGCTGCAAACAGTTCCAGGAAAATATGTTTGTGGACTGTTGAAGTCCTGAGACAACAGCCTGGCCACCATTCACACAGTGTGTTAACTCTATCTAATCTCCAGATTGGGTTATCCCACTGGCATAGATTATTCATCTCAATATGGGGTTAGCCCAGCCCTCTGAGACTCCTAGCCCACAAAGCTGTGGGAATATGGGAGGCTGTGGACCCACGCTGCATTTAGCAAGCTTTCAGGCTACAGTATACGTGTACATTTTAATGTACTTTGTAACAACTAGCTTTACAAGGATAGGTAACTGTGCATTGCATAACAGGGAAACACTGATTATTGCAATGAGGTAATGTATGAGGTTTGTTTACATGCATGTGTTTGTGGATAAAAAAAACATCACTTTACAACAGCTGTATGAAGTAAAAAATATAACTAGCAATATCAACTATATTAAATTGCATATTTACAAATATGTATTCTACAAAAACTGGGATTTTAAGGATATTTGAGGTTAATGTTCTAAATTACTATAGATAGCCTTTTTGTTATTTTGATCACATTGGCTGAGGCTCAAGATTGACAGACCTCATGTCATTCCTCTGCAGATCCTCAAGAGGTGCTGAGTGCAATGAGAAACTACGTCCACATCTTCTTTGGCTGCAGACCGTGTGCCGAGCACTTTGAGAACATGGCGAGGGAGATTGTGACTGAGGTGAAGACGCTGTCGTCAGCAGCCCTGTGGCTCTGGTCCAGGCACAATCGTGTCAATAACAGGCTGGCAGGTAGTGGTCAGCACAGTCTTGGTTACCTACCATGTTATTGTGGTTTTAGTGATACTTTCCATAATTTAAATTTCAACTGTGGTTCTTTTTTTTTTTTTTTTTAAGGTTTCTTTAAATTACAGTGAAGTGGCTGTTATAGCATCATTAGCTTCCATAGTGCGATGTATTTTTCAGTGAAGCAAACTGAGCCATCAAATGTGATTGGATCACCATGACTCAGAATACACTGATATGAAGCTGTAGTGAGAGAGCTGTTGGCCTCCACCTACACCTCCCTCACCTGCATTGTTGGGTCAGGAGGAGGAGGAGGAGAATCAAACTGAATAAATTAGAGAATAGCCACACTCTTTTAAAAATGTTTTTGCATTGTGATATCCAAACACACACCTCTGACCCATGGCATCACTCTGCTAGCTACTAGAATCCACAAGCTACCCACAGCTGTTTTATATGACGGGTGGTTTAGCAAATTGCTCCAAATCACATGTGATTGGATATATTTATGGACATATATACCCTAGAGTTCAACATGAGTCGTGAGAGTGTTTCAAGAGGAAAGAAACTAAATTTGATTGGCATATGCCAAGAGACACTATGATGCACTACAATTTGGTGTGTTAAGTCATCGGTACTTAACCCCCCCCAACAACAACACACACACAGAGGCATTTCATCTTTTGACTCTCCTTTCCTCAGTGTCTGTCCATCCCCACCATGTGATCATAGTAAGCGTGTCCTTACTTTATACTGGGGAAGACTTTAGCTTCAAGTTTCCTCTCATTGTCAGTTAGTCCCCATAATATGACTAAGAGGGTGAGGGGAGGAGGGATCCTGAGATCAGACACCAGCTGTTACCCTGTCTTAGTCCTCTAAGTATCATCACCCATTTTTTCCTGAGGCCCCTCTGCCATCTTACATGCTTTTCACACCCTTGCTTTGATACTGTCCCACACCCCATTGTCCCACCACAATCACCCCTTTCTTATTTATCTGTCCCCAAATTCTGTTTCCTTCTTGTACCTTTCCACTTTGCTGCAGGATTTGGCTAAAGGGGATCTGTCTATTTAAACACAACTAATTCAGCATAATCACTCAATTAGAGTAACTTTTAATGGACACATCTTTCATTTTGTGAGATTACTTTTCCTGCACTTCTGCCTCTTTTCATCTTTGCGCCAGATTTCTTGCTCCGTTTTTATTTTTTTAATTTTTTTTTTTTTTTTTTTTTTTGTCTAAAAGGTTTTACCTCATCTTTGGCTGTGCTATGTCAGCATATTACACTTGCACATCAGTTTTGAGAGTGCTAAACAGCTCCTGAACATCACCCCTCCCTTGTCTGTGTTCTTATGATTTTATTAGGCACAAAGCTGTCATTAACAGTCCACTTTGTTAAATCACTGTTTTGTTTGTTTTGACTGCCCCCCTCTTCTGACACAGGGACAGCTTGTGCCCAGACCAGGAGGGGCCAGAAGGACACCCATTCCCGCACGTGTCTGCTCCCTAGACCCCTCCCCCCCATCCATCTATCTTCCCTCTATTCCTCTGTCCGTCTTTCTCTCTTTCCACTCACCATCCCCTGGGACTCATATCCTCCGCTTGACAATTAATAGCGCAGCAGCCTTGTAGGATGGGTCCCCCAGGAGCCAGCCCTCTGCCAACACACACATACACAAGCACACACAGTTCCTAAGGTATTGTGTGACAGCAGGTGGTACAACACCATGACATAAGCCACACACATTTCCCCTTCCTTCACCCCCTCCACTTCCAAAACACACACACACATACAGCTTTTCCAAGCATCGGTCAAGTTGTGGCGTGTGGCATGGGGGAGTTGGTCATGGTGGAGGGTGAGTTAGGGTCCACAGGGGATAGGTTAGGTGAATCAGAAGGACAGAGAGGGAGGAGCTGAGGGTTTGGCTGTGTTTGTAGCAATGAGTGGCAGCATCTCCCTGAGGAGAGCACACTCCATCCCTCCATCCACTCAACCCCTCCTCTCCCCTTTGCCTAAAGTGGAGCTCTTTAGCAGGCATCCCCGCCTCTCCTTTCAGGGGCAGCCATGCATGAAAGAGCAGCTATTTGTGAAGCGGACGAACAATTAATTTAGCTGGCAACAAAGAGGCCCCAGGGCCCTCGAACTCTCTCAGCAGCAGAATTAAGACTGGTGGCAGCTCAGTCCTGTTGCTGCTTGTCAACAAGCTGAGACTGATTCACATTACTGCAGACAAAACAGCACTGCTGTAGCCTGGGTGCTTTCAGGACTGCATGTTTCATGTACAGAACTGCTCACATAGGTTGTGCTTTTTTCCATACTGAGCAGTATCATTTAAAATGTTTTATTATTAGCAGAGATACAGTACCTGAGTTGCAGTAAAGATTTCAAAATTAGAGTTGTCATTGCCACAAAATATCTTGATATTGCAAAGTATTTTTGTGATCATGATATTCTTGACAGTAAGTTGCAGAAAAGCTGAAAGTATAATATGAAAATATAAACTTGTTTTAGTTATTTCCTTGCACCTATAAAAAAAAGCACTTTCCAGGTTGTGCCAGTGTAGTTTTCTCTTTTTGTTGTTAAGACCTTAAATTAGTTGGTGTGCTCTCCTTGTACTAAACTGGGTGCTTGAGGTGGTGACATAAGTATTTTTTTGCTGGCCCCCTATTGCAGTTGCCATATTTACACTGCTTACATACTGGTGAGGTTTGTTGTAGAGCTGACGCCTTAAAACCAAACCACCTCCACAGTACCAAAGTTGCTTCCTTTTTTAGAACTAACTAGAAGCAACTTCTGCTTAGTTTCCAGTTGTTAAAGAATATGTAAACAAGATGATGAATCTGACCAGATGTTCAATACCAGCCTTTTATGCTTAACATCATATTTGCTCCAAACACATTTCAGTTAGTACAAAAATATATTGGTTTGTTACCCGACACTAGCATTAATTCTGTCCTACAATACACAATCTAGATTCCTGAATTAGTTTTTGTTTCAATTATTTAAATGAGCATAAAGTGTCTGACACCAGCTGCACTCCCCAGCAGTCATGAAGGCTCCATATACTGTGCAGTGCAGGTGATCCTCACTTACAGAATTAGTACTAAGGAAGCTAGTCTGATGTGCTGAACAAAATATATTTATACCTGATGAATATGTATGCCCAGTGGTGATGACACCTCCGTGACAGGCCATTGTGGCAATCACAGTATGGCTGGTATGGCTAAAGTCCCCCTAGCCGCAAGACCTGGCTAGCTGATTAGAATGAGGAAAGAGATGGGAGGCATCTGGTGTGTGTGTCTGTGTGTGCATTGTGAGGCTCTTGGAAGGGTGAGAGTTAGTTTTTGGGTTAAAGTTGATTTCATGTGAAGTTGAGCTTAGGCTAAGGGTTGGGTGTTAGGGATTTAGTAGTCATGGTTCAGGTTAGGGTGAACGGCTAGGGAATGCAAAATGTCAGTGTCCTCACAACTATAGTAAGACTAACATGCATGTGTGTGCTTGTACTGTCACCTGCTGAAATGTATAAAAGCCAGTGCAGCCCATCCAGGACACAGTAAAATTGATGTATCCTTTATGTAAAGTACTGTATGCAGAGTGCGTGCACACATGCATATGACTGAGATTAATCTTGAGTGGCGGGGAGAAGGTGCAGGGAGCAGGGATGGAGGTGGTGGAGGATGTAAATTGACAGTGCTGTAAAGTGACAGACCTGCTGCTCTGCTTTTTTTCCTCACTCACACACACACACACACACACACACAAACACACACACACTGGCCTGTTGGTGACAACAAGCAATTTATTACTAGATGCTCCTGTGTGTGTGTGTGTGTGTGTGTGTGTGTCCATCTAAGCTTTTGTTTGAGCCTGTACAATTTTGTAAATTTCTCTTCCAGTTGCTTTGCATGGATACAGACTGCATGTGGTGTTAGTGGGAAGCAGCTACATAAAATAAAAGATCTTAAAGGAGAACGTTTCTAATTCATTAGAAGCACTGATCCCCTCTGAGGTTTGTTACTCTCATGCTCAGTTTGGAGATTGGACTTTGCTTTCAAAGGTGTGTTGAGGGACAAAACAGGTGGCCCAGTGCACTGAGGTTTGCCATCTGAAAACCGGAATGTGTGGGGGAGGGGGGGTCTGCTTGGGCCAAATCTGTTATCTCACCACCCCTCCCACTGGGACACCCCAGAAGCCCACTGATCATTGTTAGACCCTGTCAGACACACGCTTGTGCACACACACATGCACGCACAATAGTATCACTCCATAGATTACATGCACACAAACACAGACAGATGATTTACATATACACACTTAAACACATACATACACATATGCATATAGGCACTTAGGTTTTACGAGCACTGTGACAAGATCAAATGGGTTCAACTCAGATTGCATCCAGTCCTCAGAGCACTTATATCTTCAAGTCAATGCATCAATGCAGAAAATAAAAGAAACAACAATTGACATAGCAGCTGACTGGAAGCATCATGCTGTGCACTTCACTTATCTGCTATGAATTTGGATCCCTCCAACATATTGTGACCTTGTATATTATCTATTATAAGTCAGTGAAGTGCTCATTAGTTTGTTGCTGTGAGAAAAACTGACAAAGTTGTAGTAGTGAAAGAAGTGGGCCTGTTTAGATACTCAAACATTCAAAAACAACCTCTATAAGACTATTATAACAGGTAAAATTATATTATCTGTAATCAACATCTCTTGTTGATGTAGCAAGTGGACTTTACAATGGTACATAGTACTGTACAGTCTGTGAAGGTTATGCACATCAGTGCATCATATAATCTGAGTTAATCGTGTGTTCAGAACTGTGCTGCACAATACAGTAACCCTGTTTCTCCAGGTGCCTTGAGTGAAGACCCCAACTTCCCAAAGATCCAGTGGCCCTCACCAGAAATGTGCCCAGCCTGCCACACAGTGAAGGAAAACGGGGATCACAAGTGGAATCAGCAGCAGGTCCTCAATTTCCTATTGTCCCACTTCTCCTCCAGCAGCATCCTCACAGGTACTCGTGGTTTCCATTTTCATCCTCACACAGTGTGACTTCACCCAACTGGAAAAGTTTTTTGTCTTTCTACCTGCTTTTGAAGAGCTGACAGGCTAGATTGATCTTGTCTTTCTTTTCCTTTCCCTGTCAGACTATCTTGAAGATGAAAACAATATCCTGGAAAAACAGAGGGAAAAACACGCCAGCCAGAGGCTGGTTTTAGAAGCTCCGAAACGTGTAGAGAGGAACCCTAGGGAGGCCTTGGACTCCATGATGCATCTTCTGCCATCACAACCCACTGTGCAAGAAGAGGAGGAAGAAGTGGAGGAGCCACAGGGTGAAGCACTGACAGATGAAGAAGAGGAAGGTGGGGAGGGAGCAGCTTTAGACGAAATGGACGGTAAGACATCAGAGCCGATTACCTGGGCCAAACCCAAACTGGAGCTAAATCGAAGCCGATGGCAGGCCCGCAAGAAGCCGAGCATTGTGGGGATGAGGATGCGAGAAGTGCAGGAGGACATCGTGGATCTCGACTTATTTCTCAATCAGCACTACAAGGCCAAGGCACTGCAGGCAGCTGCTACCAACCGAGTCATGCAGCGTACCCTGCAGAGGAAGGAGGAGCAGGAGCCTAGGCCTGTATTCAGTCTCGGCACAGAGCTGGACACAGGGCTCGGAATGGTAGGCCTGCAGCCTGTGGAAGCAGACTTTGAGCAGAACATGGGAGAGCAGAGAAAACGGCTACAGAAGCGGGAACTGACAGGCCAGTACTTTGATAAGGAGTCGAACCACGGGGGACGCTTGATGTTAGTACTGAGCATTGGATTCTCAAAGCTGGACATTAGCCTGTGTGTCGCTCTTTATTTCCTGTCCTGTATGTGTCTTCTTGCCATGTACCTTTTCTTTAAAAATCACCTCAGGCTACGGCGGGCTAAAGTAGCCCTGCCCTGACAGTACACACACTCGACCTGATTCAGAACAATCCAGCCTCCAGAACAGTTCAGGCAGTACATCACCTGTGGAAAATCAGTGCATACAGATGTATATGTCTATCAGTAGGTGTCTGTCTGTTCTCAAATTCAGGATAAACAATGTTGCTTTTGATTCTGTTTTAACCACTTATGAAGGATAAAATTAAACCCATTATGAGATTTATGGATTTTTAATTTGTGTGAAATTAAACTAATTATTTTTGGGGGGTTTTACTAAGTGATTTAGTTTGTTGCTTTTACTAAAGTTATGGTCATTTATGTGATTAGTGCAATTTATTTTACTGTCACAGTAGGATGAGCCCCTCCTACACTACTTGCCTGTGTACTGCAAGCAAAAATGGATGCTTCAGTAGCAATTTGTGTATATGTATGTACATGCAGAAGTATTCGAGACAGTTTAAATCCCCAAATACATGTACATGCTCTGTTGTATCTTAAAATGAAAGATGAACTGTTCTGACTTTCCAATTACTCACTGGGATTTTTTTTTCAGGACATTTCTTTGAGTTTTAGTCAAGTTCTTTCAAAGCTGTTGTGGGACTGACAGTTGCATCTTCTTGTTGAATACTGTGACAGGAGCAGCAGTAACGGTAAGAGTTATACATTACACTGAGCATTCACATCTGTGAATATTACATCGTAGCGCTGAGTCCACACAATAGCTGCTCTGGATGTTTGAGGTTTTGTGGAGCGGCACACGTGTTCACACTGGAGGAGGTTCTAGAATAAGCAAGTTTTGGTTTTGGCTGTCGTCCACAATGTAAAGCTTCTGCTGGTCATCTCAAAAACAGTTTCTCTGTTGCTTCAGTCTGAATCAATAAAATTATTTTTGATAAAACTCTGCTCTTTCTGATCTGGTTTTAAAACACTGATTTGCTAAAGTAGGCCACTGTAAACATGCTGAGCAGCACAAGCTAAATCCTAACAATTTCATTGGGATTATGGCAAGTGAATAATCCATCTTTCCTTTAGGCCTAGAGGAGAGAGCTTACCTTTGAGGATTAGCTCTCTGCAGATAATAAACTTTATTAAAACACAATCGGCTTTCATGGGGCTTCTTCCCTCCTTACACAGTTGGAGTTGGGCTCGGGGGGGGTCGCACTAACAAGGGAGAGAGGGGGGACGAAAGAGGGAGCAATGTGTGTGATGGATGGGTGGAGGACAAGGGTTTGATGACGCCTGGATTACAACAAGCCCATCTGAAGGACAAGCGATGCTTGATCTTGAGCTTTGTGTTCCCTGGAACATTGGTTTGAATTCCCTTGACTCCTGCCCTTGTACCTCCACCCCCCAACATGTCTCTCTCTCACGCACACACACACACACACACACACACACTGATCTCATCCCAAACCCCACTCTATCTCTTTATCCAAACCATGTTTTCAGCATCAGTAGTATGACAGGTTTTGATGGTGAAATTGTTGAGTTAAGGCAGTCGATTCCACACACACACACACACACACACACACGGTGGGACAACAGGCTGATTAATTGCCCTACATTAAAGCAGAGGAGCATCAAGGCTGAGCAGCTGTGCTTGTGTGACTTAATCAAACTCTCAGATATTCAACGACACGTTATGATTGCCTGAATGGAGTGAGAAGAGCACTGTTGTGCTTGTTATTTATACTTTTCCCCAAACATTATCCAATATATCATCTGACGAAGTTTAATAGCAGGGTGGCCTGTATTTCTTAGCTGGAAAAGTGTCAAAGTAGGAATTATGTGCCCTTCTCAAACTTTTTTGTGTAGTCAGATCTGGTGTTTAATGTGCTGAATCTGAGTCAGGGAGGTAATGTTAAATGCTTACAAGCATTCATATTTTTTTTTCTTAAATCAATCATTGAAGTGTTTTTCTCCCATACACAACTTGCTAATCAATTTAAACGTTTGCTTGTATTTGTTATTGGATTGGAGTCAGCCATGCTTTGTGGTGCTTACTCTACAGAAGCCTTTTATCAGGTGCCTTGAGCCTCAGTGAGCTGCGAGTGTTCTGCTGGTTAGGACTAATGATGGTTAATGAGGAAGTTGGCAGCAATGTAATATCTGCCTCAAACTTTGCCAAGGCTGTGGTGGGCAGTTCACACTGAGGACACAGGTTTCACATTCAGAGATGTTTGTGTTCTTTACCCATCTGAATTCAGAATCAGGATTAGTATTTGTTTTTGACCAGTGAAAACTAGATTAGCTGTTTTCCTTTGCTTCCAGTCTTTATGCTACACTAAGCTAATTGCCTCCAGATATCAGAGGTATCTGTCTCCTCATGTTACTCTCTGCAAATGTCTCACATTTCTTCAAACTCCCAACAGCTGCGTATATGCAACGGTTGCTACCTAACTGAACAGCTTGAGTGGTTATTAGTTTAAATTCTACAAGTCTCCGTAATCTACTGGAAAGATGGGCAGCATTCATCCAAAAGGTGTCCCATCATTTGGTGTGTTAAAGATAGTAGGGAGCACTCGTCTAATATGTCACTCCAAAATCTCCCATCTGGAGTGGCCATAAGATTCACATCCTTTTCATGCTCATCACACTATTCATTGACACATTATATAGTGGTTAACTGATGGGAATCCAAAAATGTTACTTAGTCTACCACTACGCTTTCTGAGTTGCATTTTAAAATGTACATCATAATCAACAAATGTTTACACTACACACAGTAAATACACTGATCAGTCATAACATTATGACCTCCTGCCTAATACTGTGTACGCATGAGTCAGTGCAGCAGCTGGTTGGCGCTCATGTCGCTCTGCAGCTCACTGCATCTTCTGTGAATCCATTTGCTTCTACTATCTGGAAGAGCATGGACGTGTCAACCACTCCGTGAAAACTGTGAAGACAAGTTAGAGGTACTGTTTTAGACAAATTCAACAGCCTCCCCACTCTAGATGTGATATCATCACTACAGCTGCTGAACGTTTCTCTTCATAGAGACCAATGTACAGTATTTCTTATTTTCAGCCAGTTTAACAAAGATTTAATCATAATGGAATATTTTGAAAAAAGATGAATGAAATTTAAAACTTTAATCGACACTAGGGGGAGGAACAGCAGTGCAGTGGTTAGCGCTGTCGCCTCACAGCAAGAAGGTTCTGGATTCAGACCCCGGGCCTTTCTGTGCAGAGTTTGCATGCTCTCCCTGTGCCTGCGTGGGTTCTCTCCAGGTACTCTGGCTTCCTCCCACAGTCCAAAGACATGTACACTGGTGACTCTAAATTGCCTGTAGGAGTGAATGTGGATGTGTGTCGTTGTTTGTCTACACATCAGCCCTGTGATAGACTGGCGACCTGTCCAGGGTGTACCCCGCCTCTCGCCTAGGATTGGCTCCAGCCTATTCAGGAATAAGCAGTATAGATAATGGATGGATGAAATCTACAGTAGGTAAACCTTATCATCAGTGAGCCTTGGGTGTCCATGACTCTGTCACAGGTTCACTGTTTGTCTTTGCTTACACCACTATTGGTAGATACTAACCCAACACCCAACAAGATCTGTGGGCTAGGAGATGCTCTGACCCAGTCGTAAAGATCTGTGGTCTAGGAGATGCTCTGATCCAGTCGTCTAGCATCACAGTTTGGCCTTTGTCAAAGTTGTTCAGATCCTTACATTGCCCATGTCCCCTGTTTCCAACACATCAAGGACTGAATGTTCACCTGCTGCCTAATATACAGTACCTCACACACTGTAAGGATCAATGTTACTCACTTCACCTGTCAGTGGTTATAATGTTATAGCTGATGTATAAATAAATACATATATAATACCACCATTAAACCCAACATATGATGTATCAGTATTAAATACAATAATTGAAAGCAAACAAACACAACAGGTAATCTCAACTCAGTCATACATTTGTTTATAATAACAAAGATTGTTTTCTGACTAACAAAGTCAGAAAACAAGTGGTTGTCTACATTATTGGAGTTGCATACTGCAGTCTCACTTTTACTGCTTCTGTTACAACTTACACTTTTGTCAGTTGCTCTTTCCAATGTCAAGAGTGAATTTGGAGCCTTAACTTTGAAGTCAAAATTTGCACTTCTTGCTCATTAGAGAAGAGAAACTTGAACATCTGCAGTTTCATGACAGCTGTGCAAACTTTATCTGATGATGAAGATCAAGTGATATGATTGAAAGGTTAAGAACAACTAATAAATAGACCGACTGATTTATCACCACGTTAAGCTTGTGTCGCCGCCATTTATTACATTACCTGTTACAGATGTTTAGTTCATCACTCTTCCAGTTAAAATTTGAGGCATTAACACTGAACAGCCTCATTACTTTCTTCAAAACTCTGTGCATGTGTTGATTGTTGAACATAAACGGTGTGCACTGAGACATTGTGTTATGAAAGCACAGACTGAAGGGTAAAAACCTCACCTTGCTGCCCTGTTGTTGTCTTCCATAAATTAGACAGTGTAGGGTTTTATAGTCGCTCCTCTCCTGTGTGCTCTCTGCCTTGATGTTTATTGCCCCTCCGGTATTGATATTAAAATGCAGGAGGGGCTTGATGCATTTTTCTGTCATCTTGCTTTCTGACTTTAATAATACTATAAAGCTTCCTGCTGTGGATAGAGCGAGAACGAGGGAAGGGAGGGGTGCATAAATTATGAAAAAGAGGTTAATATATGGTATTGGTATATATCACATTCAAACTAAGCCAGATCCCCTTTCAGCTTTAAAACATTCAGCCTTTTAAAGGCAGGAGTCAGGCAGGGTCAGATCCATCTCATTTTACTGCTGCAGTCCCTCCCTCTCTCATGTGGATGCTCATCTGCTCATCTCCCTAACTAAACTAGTCTTCTCACCATCAGTGTGCTGCTGGGCTGCTGTTTATACAATGACAAACAGGAGGAGACTTTACCACACTGCCTGTCCACCTGTGTACAACCAGGAAACCATCAAATATGCTCTGTTGCATTAGTGGGAATGGTGTGTTTATTTGTGTCTATCTGATTCTATATAATCTATCTCTGTCTAATTGTGCAATTGCTTGCTCTCCCCTGCTTTTTGTGGTTGCTCTACTGTTTGGCCCCACACGAATGAAAGACAAGTATCTTTGATTTTAGCCAGGTGGAAGACCTTGTAGTTCATCTGTGCCCAGCAGAAGTGCAGAAGCGTGGACAGGAGGGGATTCTGGACGATCAATAACCTCCTACTATCAACTGCATTTAGGCCTTGGGAACGTGCTAAACCGAACTATTTTAATTTCATCACAAACCTGACCTCCTCCTGCTGTGTTCTGTTTCTGGATTGTTCTGGACTCAACCCCTCCTCCAGAGTTAGCATCCACTGCTTACAGGAAGTGTTCGGGTAATGAAGTTGGAGGAGGTCCAACACTTGTCAGTAACAGTCTGAATACACTCAGCTGATCCTGCTCCTGTCATTTAATGGGGGAGATTCACTCCTCGCTTTCTTGATTTTATGAAAAGGGCTTTAAAATGTTTTTGTTGAATTCCATTTGTTTGTATTAAAGGGAGTGTTGGGTCATTTCATTAAATAATAGAATAAGTAATAGTTTTTCTATTAGTGCTTAAGCATATGTTTTAAGTTTAGTCTAAATAAGGTCACAGATTTGATGGCAGCCTAGTTTTAGTAAGTCCCCTGTATGTAATGTAGGGACTTGGTCAGTCCTCTGATGACTGGAATGACTGTAACACATAAATGTTTGACAAAAAACATGAACAATTGTGTTGAAGAGCTTTGCATGTTGTAACTAAAGACGCACAAGGTGCTTGCTTTGTCTGCATATGTATCATCTTGTTTCGGGGTAAATGAATTATACACAATTTTATGAAGTCAGATGGAGGTTATGGTGTATGTTTTCCATCACATCTCAGCATCAGTTAGGGGGTTTCTCCAAAATAAACACCCTGACATTTGAACTCATGGCTACCACTAAGTATGACATAGTATCAATACTTTTCATTAAAGCTTTACATCTCGCATCTTATTCACTCACTCATTCATCTGCTGCCCAGGCTTATCTGATAGAGGTCAGGAGGGTCTGAAGTGTATCCCAGCATGCAATGGGCAGTGTACAGACAGGGCAGCACCTTGTGCAGGTACCAGTAAATCTCAGGACTTCAGATTAAATTGGATAATATAAATGAATTATGTCTTTTATGTTCTGAAAGATTTCTACAAAATAATACCACCGGTGTTCAGTGCATGTTTTAATTTTTGCATAAATGGCGTTTGTGCAATATGATGTACCTCAGGCCTCATTTATGAATACAGATAAACGTTTTTGCCAAAATTAAATGTTTACTTACAGCTGGTATTAATTTGACGACCTAAGTATTATTATTATTATTATTATTATTATTATTAGACCTTCATCAGGAACCTTTGGCCTGGCCGTGGTATTTTTCGAGTCAAATGAGCCTATTACCGCCTCGACTTAGCACGACAGGATCAGGTTCAATCTGGGAATTGGAAAATAACATTTCTGACTGTAATAGATTTCGTTTGTTCAACCAATCTCTTCTACTAATTACCCAAATGGACAGGAGCTGTCAGGAGACAATAACTATTCCCTAATAGAATTTGCCCCCAAGTGCAATTTAATTTTCTCTTCTGTGCTCTCTGCTAAGGTTTCCCCCCTCGCCTTCTGCCTCTCTCCCTCTCTGTGCGCCTCTCCTGCTGTAGGACCAAATGGTGAGGGACACGATGCCACTGCTGCCTAATGGTGTTTTGACAGTGAAAGTGTGGACTGACTGCTGGTGTTTCTCTGCGAGCTTCGGTGCATCCTGCTGA